TATATATAATATATATATATATATATATATATATATATATATATATATATATATATTATATCATATATTAGTAAAAATATTGTTATATTATAGGTTTCTCATCACTGCAAGTATGGATCAAACAACAAGAATTCATGCATCTTGGAAAAGTGAAATAGAATTTTGGCATGAAATTGGACGTCCACAAATTCATGGATATAATATGTCTTGTTTAACTATGCTAACTCCTTACATATTTGCTTCAGGAGCAGAAGAAAAAGTTGTACGTATATTTGTAGCACCAGCAATATTTAAAAATTATTTAATAAAACTTGCCAATGTTGATGATTTTAAAAATATGATGGCTGATAGTGCATCAGTACCTGCTCTTGGATTAACAAATAAAGCAACATTTAATAATAATATTACAACTGAAAATAGTATAGTTAATGACTTCAAAAGTGAGGATTATATTCCTCCAACAGAAGAAGAATTAATACAAAATACATTATGGCCAGAATTACAAAAACTTTATGGTCATGGATATGAAATATTTTCTATAGCTGCCAGACATGATGGGATATTATTAGCAACTGCATGTAAATCATCATCACCAGAACATTCTGCAATATTATTATGGAATACAAATACATGGATTCAAGTTCAGAAACTTATATCTCATCAATTAACTGTGACACAAATGGAATTTTCTCCTAATGACAAATATCTATTATCTGTTTCTAGAGATAGAAGGTGGTCATTGTTTGAATTTAAAGATGATATATATATCTTAATTGCAGCTAGTTTGAAGAAAGATAATCTTCATACTCGTATAATATGGTGTTGTTCATGGATGCATGATTCATCTTTCTTTGCAACTGGTTCTAGAGATGGAAAAATTGGAATTTGGAATGTAAAGTTTTCAGATGATAAAATTATTCCAATTACTAGTTTGGATGTAAAAAATTCAGTTACAGCACTTGCATTTTCATTACAAAATATTGAAGATTTTCATATCTTAGCTATAGGATTTGAAACTGGATATATAGAAATACAAAAATTGAAAATTATTGCTAATAATTTTAAATGGGAAAAATATATAGTATATGACTCTTCTCAAGCACATCATTTAACTGTTAAAAGACTTAAATTTCGACCTCAAAAAAAATATTCAAATACTTTACAATTAGCAAGTTGTGGATCTGATCATATTGTTAAAATACATGATATAAATGTTTTTAAATAAACAAATTTGTAAAATATTTTTTATTTTTTTATAATAAAATTTTATATTTTAATTAATATTAATAATAAAATTTAAAGATGTGCAGATATAAATTACAAATTTAATCAAAAATTCAGAAGAAATTGAGCATAACTTCAATATTTTTATATTGCTTGATTCTAAAAATTTTGAAAATATTAAAAAACAAATTTTAATTTTTTCTAACTCCAAAAGTTCAATCTAGGAATGCTTCTATAGTTTTTATTGAAGTTTTTAAATACATATTTAAATTGAACTTACCTTATTTAATTTCCATGTATCAGTTTTATAAATTTCTATATTATCTTTACTTTCAATTGAAACTACTACAGCTAATTTATTACCATTTGGACTAAAATATAATTTATGAAAAAAAGATTTCACATTTTGTATATGAATTACACTTTGATTTTCCAGAGACCAAATTGATATTTGAATCTGAACATTGTAATAATTTTAATATATTAAAATTTAATGCATTAAAATTTATAATATAAAATAAATTTACTACTTACATTGAAATCTGATAATGTCAATATGTATTTACTATCAGGAGACCAATTAACACTTTCTAAACCAGCACTGCCTTCAATTAATTTATATTTCCATTCAGGATAACGAATGGAATATACTTGAATAATAGCTTTTTTTATGTTTGCACATAAAATATATTCACTATTTCTAGACCATTCTAAATACTATGATAGAATGAAAAACAATTTTGATATTATAAAATACTTTAGTTTTTTTTTTAGAATTATTGTTTCATACTAAGAAATAATTATAAAAATTTAATAAAAATTATTTATTATTTATCTAATAATATATACTAACCTCAATTATATCTGGAAATACAAATGAATGAATGGTATCAAATTTTTTATTACTCTTTATAGTTAAATTTGATTGATATGCAGTTGCAAAAAGTGTTCCATCTTTAGAAAAATCACACAATTGATTATTTATTCGTATTATATCATTTTCTACTTCTAATGACATTGTATTATTGTTAATACAAAAAATATATTACTGTAAATTCAAAAAATGTATTATTGTATATATATATGTATACCGGAAAAATTCTCTATCTTCTAAATAGAAAAATAATAATTGATCATAGTTGTCGGTTGAGCGCGATACGTTATTATTCCTTATAAGGATTTAATTTTTTATTGTAAATTTATATAGGAAATATATACATGATCAAGCATATGCCGAAATCGAATATCGCATTATATTATGTGTTTTTACTTAATGTAGCAGTGACAGTGGAGATAACATGACGTTATATATTCTTTTTTTTGTACTGTTCGTATTTAGCTAAAATTCATTTTCACGCGATAATAAATTGCGGCTCATAACTAAATATTACACTTTACAATGTATTATACAATACTAAATATTATAACTTTCTTTTCGTGAAAAATGCATGTTGTATTGTTATGAATATAGTTATGTACTGTATTGATGATAATAAGAATCATGTGAAAAGTTTTTTAAAGTTTACTGATTAATATTATAGTATAATCCAAATTTATAAATTGTGTAAGATATATTAATCAATATAATTAAGTAATAAATATATTTACATGATACAAAAATATTGCGCCGCATTATTACAACATAGCGCTTAAAGTCCTTATTAATCTATTTTATTCGATCTATTTTATCTTATACATTTTATTCGATCTATTCTATTTTATCTATTCTCCTTTGCCATTCTTTCTATTTTATCAAGTTTTTTATACGATTATTTTTTTTTATTTCTGATAATTCTACTTACTCAATTTTGCCAACATAACTAAATGCAGTAAAATGTATAAAAAAATAATTATTAAAAAAGATTTAAAAAATATTTAATAATTTTTAATTTTATTTTTTTTATTATTTTATTAAAAATATCTTTTATATATATAAATGAATATAAATCTTTATTTAATTGTGAACATAGCTTATGAATCAAATTTTATTATGTTGGTTGTAATGAATTTGAAAAGTAACAACATCCGTAACAGTTGAAACGTAGAACATTTTATTGTAAATATTATTATATCTTATGTCTGGATAAAATTGATAATTTAATAAGTTTCTAATTTTAAATTAAAATTTAAAAATTAAATAATATTAAAAAGCTTGTAAATTATTAATTAATTAAAATGATTAAAGATTTTATTATTCCTATAAATAAAGATGAACTTTTACAAACTCGGAATGGACAATATTTTGTTGAAAAAATTGTTTCAATACGAGTATTACCACAAGCTCTTGATGGTATGTTTTAAAATTAATTTAAAATTTTATGTATTTTTATATTTATTATAATAATATTAATTTTGTTTATAGAAGCCAAATCAGCACTTCAAATGAATGGAATCAATTTTATATTAGATCATTTTGATACATTTTTCTCTTTAATTGTTCATGGAAATAAAATTGAATTACCAATTATTATGCGTGGCTTCAGTAGAATTCATAAAGGTAAAAAATATTTATATATATATTTAGCATTATTGTTATTTAATTTGTTATTTAATTTCTTTATAATTAACAAAATATTTATTTTGATTATTATTTTATAAAGCTATTGAAATATTAGTAAATGATTTGGAAAATATATTTGAAAATGGAAAAGAATTGGAAGAAGAAGATAGATTAAGATATTTAAATATAAATAAAATGCTTACATATTTATTCTCTTGGCTTCTTTGCCATATAGATGATGAAATTTCTAAAGATGTAAATGATAAATATACAAGCAAGGTTTGTTTAATTAAAATAATGATATTAATTTATTTTTTAATATTTTTATATTAATTACTATTTTATATAGCGTAAGAAATCAACAAAATCAGATATAGAAGAAGAATGGGAAAATGATAGAGAAAAAGCATTAGAATATATTTATAGATTATTACAATTACCATTACAAAAACTTTGGCAACCTCCTATTGTAGAAGATTCATTTATAATGTATGTTTGACATAAAGATATTAATTTCAATCTTAAAAATTCTTTTAATTTTCAAGATACATAAAATAAATATGTCTTTATTTTATATTTTATATATTATATATATTTTAGATTATTTACCAAAGTGTGCTATAAAGTTTTAGAACAATGTAAAGATTCAAAATGTAAACATATACGAGAAACAATTTTTGAGGTAAATTTTTATAAATTTCAATATATTATTTTTGAATTAATTTTCAAATTGTTTTGATTTTAATCTATTTATAAAAGATTTTAGGTACTTCAGTTAAAAAATATAATCATGGTATAAGTTGTGTAATAAGAATTATTCAGGTATGTAAGTTTCTTTTAATGAATAATTTTATTTAATATAAAAAAATCTATTGAATACATAAATTTTAGTTAGTGAAATTACATGATATACTAGCATCTCATATAGCTACTGGAATTATATATATGATTAAAAATTGTGGTTGTAATGGTTTAATAAAAGAAATAATGAAAGAGATTGATCAAAGTGAATTATCTGAACCTGATAGTCGTAATATATCAATATTTTTAGAAACTATTGCTGCTTCTGAACCAAATCTTATAATTTCTATTCTTGATGATGTGATGGATTATTTGGGTAGCGAGGTAACTTTATATTAGTAATTATATATACAAATATATGTAATGTATATATAGAAATATATAGAATATAAAAATCTTTATATTTTCATTATATAATTGTGTGTTACTATTTTTAGCATTATACCATGAGAAATTGTACTATTAGTATTATATGTGAAGTTATACAAAAAGCATTGACTGGAGATGATCTTACACAAGAACAAAAAGTTCAACGTGATGAATGCCTTAATAGTTTGGAAGATCATATTCTTGATAATAATGCTTATGTTAGATCAAAAGTTTTGCAAGTTTGGCAACGTTTATGTTGTGAAGGAGCTATTCCATTAGCGAGGCAAGGAAGACTTTTAGCTGCTACTGCATTACGTTTAGAAGATAAAAGTGCAAGTGTACGAAAACAAGCATTACAATTAATACGTGCTTTACTACAGAGCAATCCATTTGCTGCTACAGTGAGTAAAAGAAATTATATTTGTTTATATTATTTTTTATATCAAATTTATAATTATATAATATATTATATAGTTATATAATTATATAGTTTATATTTATATAAATTATTTTATATATATTAAATATATTTACAGTTAAATAAAATAGAAATATCTAAATCACTAGAAAAAGAAGAAATAAAACTTAGAAAGTTACAAACTGAAAGTGTTAGTAAAAGTGTTCGTGGTGATAATGAGAGATTAGAATTATGGAATACTTTACTCCCAAAAATAAGAAAAGTATTAAAAGAAGTTATTAATAATGAAAAAAATAAGGATATAGAATATGGTATTGTATATATTTGTATAAAATTTATATTTTAATACAAAAATATACATGATTATTGATTTTTGTTTTATATTTAGATGAAGATGAAGATGAAGAAGAAGACATAAATACAGATACAGCATTTGAATATATAAGACAATTAATGTTAAAAGAAAAAATCTTTAAAGCAGTAACATATTTATGGAAAGTTTGTATAAAACTGAAACAAAAACCAGATATAGAAAATCTTTCTTCTGAAGCAAAAGAGGAATGTTTGTTCTTATTTTTATTAAAAACATTTATGGAATCTGAAAATAATTTAAATAATATAAAAGAAAATACGGAAAAAAAACAATCAATAGAGGAAAACAAAGAAAAAGAAGAAATAATAGCAATAAAACGAGTTATAAATTATTTGAAAGTATGTTTCTATATATTTTATATTCATTTTAATAATTATTTAGTTAAAAATTATATTATTATATTATATTACAGCATTGTTTGGAATTTGCAACTGAATTAGAAATTGCTATACCTATGACAGAAAAGTTACTTTTTTCTACCACAGCAACTGATGCTATTGAGTCATGTACTTTACTTGGAATCGCTTCTAAATTTGGCATAGTTGGATCTGCAGTTGCTATTCGGGATGCTTTGTTTCAAGTATTTCATCGCGATCAATCAGTTCGTAATAATATCGCGGTGGTATATAAAGATCTTTATTTAAATAAAAATGAGAATCAAAAATCAAAACGACAAAAAGCTCTTACATGTATGAGATCCTTAATTGATTTATTAAAAAAACTTCAGCCAGGTCAAAGTCAAGCTTTAACTCAGCTTATTTTAATATGGTATAATAATAATGATATAGATAATGAATTATTACAGGTATGAAATGTATTATAACTTTAATTTTTTTTTTATAATATTAATTTAAATTTAATTTAAAATAGCTTTTAATGCTTTTATATTATAAACATATTTATATATTACATATTATAAATATATTTAAATTTATTTAATAGGTTTTATGGGAAACTTTTTCAATGAAATCACCAGACACAGATTCATTAGATAGTAGATCTGCTTTAATGTTATTAACAATGATAGCTCAAACTCAAAGTTGTATTATAAGTGATAATTTAGAAGTATTAATAAAAGTAGGATTTGGATCTAGAGCAAAGACTGATCTTTTATTAGCCAGAGATACATGTAGAGCATTGCTAACCATAAAACATAAAAATGATGATATTGAAAAATCATCTATTAGGTATATTAGATAGAAAAATATATATATATATATAATATAACATTACAACTTATAATACTTTATTTAGCATAATACATATAATATATATATAAATAATATATCAAATATATTATTAGGTATCCCAATGATCATGAAATGTTTAAAAAAATTCTTTCCTTACTAATAGAAAATTTTATAAATATAGAAGAAGATGGATATATTTCATTTGCAACTGATGCAATTAATGCTATTTATCATGTAAGTAATAATTTTATTTATTTGAATTGAATAAGTATTTGAATAAGAATTGTCCTCAAAACAATATTTTAATTTTTTTATTTTATTTTATTTTAGTTAGCAAATCAGCCTGATCATTTAATGAAACAAGTGCTATTACAAGTGTGTATTCGAGGACATTTTAATAATGATTCAACTCAAAATACTGTTTCACTTTTTTTACTTTCTAAATTATTATATTTGATTGGGCATATTGCAATCAAAGAAATGGTTCATTTAGATATGTCAGTTTATAAAGAATTAAAACGAAGAGATATTGTACGAAATTTAAAAAAAGAAAAAAAATCAGATAAAAATGAAAAAGATATAAATACAGTTCGGAGATCAAAAATAGAAGTTTCTACTCCAAATAGTGCAAGACAAATAATTCTCAATAAAGAAGTAATGATGTATTTAAAGTTTATTTATATATATTTATTATATATTATTTATTACAATTTTATTATTTTTTATACTAGACAAGCTTAATTATGGAAGATAATGGAGAGGAAGCTGTAGAAGGAGCAACAATGGATTCAAATGCAGAATTTATAAATGAAATTCTTGAAAATCATGTTGTAACTGGAGATGGACTCTTAGTAAATTTTGTGTATGTTCATGATTTTAACATTTAATGTAAACATTTAAATTATTTGTAATGTGAATGTATTTTTAATATGATATTTTATAAGTAAAGCATCAACATATCAAGCGCAATAAGGATTAATAAATTTATATTATATTTTTTATTATATTTATATTTATATAATTATATATTTAAATTTTATACTTTTATGAATAATTATCCAATTTCTTACAGTCCATTAGTATTAGATGTATGTCAATATCATGATAAATATAATAATGAAGATATACAAGCTGCTGGAGCACTTGCTCTTAGTAAAATGATGACAGTGAGTTCTAGTTTTTGTGAAAAATCTTTACAACTTTTAATTACAATATTAGAACGTTCACCATATCCTGGTATTCGGGCAAATGTTCTTATTGGAATAAGTGATCTTACAACAAGATTTCCAAATCAGATTGAACCATGGATGAAACATGTTTATGGCAGGTACTTAAAAATATAAGTAATTAATTTTATTATTTTAATCAATCAATTATAATTAATAATAATTTATAGGCTTCGTGATGAAGATACAAATGTAAGACGTACATGTGTTCGAATTTTATCAAGTCTTATAATGAGAGAAATGGTGCGCGTGAGAGGTCAAATATCAGAATTAGCTCTTTGTATAGTTGACAAAGATTTTCAAATTCGACAAGATGCAAAACAGTTTTTTAAAGCACTTTCACAAAAAGGCAATGCATTGTATAATATAATGCCTGATATTTTATCTCGATTAACTGATCCTGATTTAGATATAAATGAATCAGATTTTCAAGAAATTTTGAAGTAAGTATTTTTTAAAGTAAAATTAAAATATAAATAATAAAAATATATAAATATATAAAAATATGATAATTAAATGCAATTTAAAATATTTCCAGGCATATTTTGAATTTATTACAAAAAGAAAAACAAGTTGATTCCATTATTGATAAAATTTGTGCTAGATTTAAATTGGCTACTACAGAAAGACAATGGCGTGATTTTGCATATTGTCTTTCACTTATGCAATTTAGTGCAAAAAGTAAATAAGAATACATATTTACTTGTATATATATGCAATATATATAAGATCATATTAAATGCAATTTTTTTGAAATTAATATAATTTTTTATTTAGGTATACGTCATCTTATCGAAAGTTTACCTTTACTGAAGGATAAAATTCACCACAAGCAAGTTTTAAAAGCATTACAGTCTGTTATCGAACAAACAAAGAAAAAACCAAATACAAAAACAATATGTACAGAATTAGAAGAAAAAATAGAAGAACTTCTTAAAGGAACAGAAAATTCAAAAGAAGATAATGTTATGATAATGCCACCACCAGCAGTACCAAAATCAAGAAAACGTAATAAACGTGCAAGTAATAGTGAAGAAGAGGATGATATTGACAGTGATTCTGATTTAACATCTGTAACGAAAAGTAGGTTTTTTTCACACAAAAATTTATTATTATATTATTAATTTTTATAATTGTTTTAGCAAAAGGTTCTAAAAAAAGAAAATCATGGGGATGCAAATCAAGTTCTAGTTCGGATTCAGATAATGATTTAGCAATAAAAACTCCTAGGAAGCAACGTATATATTATTTTTTTAAATAAATAATTCTTTTATTATATTTTATTATTTTGTTAATTAGATATTATTTTTATTATTATATCTAATTATTATTTCTTTTTATATTAGTTAAAGAAAATGCACCTGCACAGACCATAACAAGATCAAGCCGAAAAAAAGCGTGTTAATTCAATTGCAGCTACACCATCATCATTACCAAAAAGAAATAAACAAGTAACACCTATGCGTATTCCGGAAAGATCTTCAGCACGTTTATCCCAATCACGAATAAGGAATTAAAATTTTTGTATATATTTAACATACAATTTTGTATTTTTTGATACTAGATTAAAAAACAGAATATGAAGTAAGTGAAAAAATATTTATAATTATTAATTAAATATTTTAATAATAAAATATATTTTATAATTTCGTTTGCTTTATAGCATTAAATAATGAATAATTAAATAATCATGAATTCTTTTTCATAAAAATCTTAAAGTATATTACTGTCATTTCAATCTCTTTTTTTTAAATATTAATTTAATACAAAAATATAATAACTGGTATATAAAATTTAAAATATTATCATAGAAATATTTATTTTAATGAAAATAATGAACACTTGATATAACATTTAAGTAATGAATGATAATATTATGTATCACATATATATTGCAACAAAAGAATTAAACATAAAGTAATGTACATATATCAAATCACTATATGTAGATAACTCCAAAAATTTTATACATTTGTGGCTATTAGTAGTAAATAAAACACTATTTTATTATGCATTTGTGTACAATAAATATACTATGTAATATTGTACGTTGTGAGAAAGACTAGTGTAAAAATCTTATATATTAAGTTTCGCATGTATCGCATTAATATTAGGAAGAGATTTGCATTTAGCTATCGTTATACCAAATCACGACTAATACTACGTTTAAACGTCATAGAACGTACTTCTGTTCCAGGTTTTCCCGATTTACAAAGATTATTAGAATTAAGGTTTGGAGTAGGACTTTGTGAAAGTGATGCTCTTTCGTCGTTAGTATTAGATTTTTCTCGTTCTAATCTTTGTTTACTAAATTTCCCCATTCCAGGACGATAAATCTCCATAGCAGGTCGATCCTATTATTTTATAATAAAAAATATTTTTATAAATAGATATTTATAAATATTTTTATAATAAACATTAAATATCAATACTTTTAATATTTCAGTTAAAATAATTATATACCTTATTTCTAATCCGACGTTCTAATCGTGGATCCTTTTTATCTTTTTCTTTATCTTCATTTTCAGTCTTCTGTAAATTATTTTGATCTCCTCCATCCAAAGATTTATGCCTTCTTAAACAATTTCCATCTCCTGTACCACCTTCTCCTCCACTTTCAAGTGAACTGCGTCTCTTTGTGAGTTTTTGAATCTTTTTTTTCTTCAGATTCATCATCTTCATTAGTTTCTTTATTAATATCTTCATTAGATTTTGATTTTTCAATATCTTTGTTACTTTCAATAGTAGATAATATAGTATCTATAAATAATATATTTATATACATTTTAAAATAAATAAGATATTTATATAAAAATTATATTTACTTGTAATATTATAAAAATTATACCTGATTTTTTCTGTTCTTTGATCTCATAATCTTGTACAGAATCTTCTATTAAAACTTTTTTTTCATTAGTTTCTTGTTTTTCTTTTTCTTTACTGTTTTTAATATCTTCTTTATCATCTATAGATTCTTCATTTTCCTTAATATTTTCATACGAATCAACTTGAAATTCCTTTTTTTGAAATTCTTCGTCCTCGCATCTTAATTTTACATTATTTTCTGTGTCAACATTAAATTCTACATTCTGTTTTTTGGTTTCTGCAAGTCTTTTTTTTTCTTGCCTCATTTTTTCATAACTTTTACCTCGTTTTTCCTCTATTTTTCGTTCCCTAGAATCTTTAATATCTTCTTTGAAATCATATTTTCTATCATCTTTTCCATCAAATCTTCTATCATCTTTTATACCATCTCTTTCATCACGTCTTCCATATATCTTCTTATCCTCGTGCCGTCTTTGATGCTTTATATCTTTATCTTTATTTCTATCTTCAATTCTTTCTCTGTATCCTTTTGTAATTGATTTAGAATCTCGATCACGTGATATCTTATCACGTAATTTATCATCCTTTTTAATACGATTTTTTATATCTTTAGGCGAAAATTTATCCTTTTCTTCCCTATTTTCTTTATTATCTTTACACATTTCTTTATCAAGATCTTGATTTTTCAATACCTATAACAAAATTAAAATATTTATTTTAAGTAAAACATTTTTATTTTAATATTAACAGATTTTAATAGAATTTAACATCATAATTTAAAGAATAAATTATAATAAAGCAACACAGAATTTTCACTTTTTTTTCTAAAAACAGTTTCTTTTACAAAATTTAATGTATACAAATTAAACGGTAATAAATTAATTACATCTTAATAAATGTATATAAATTTGGGATACAATATTAAATGGAAACAGTGTATAGCATTGAACTAAATCGCATAAGTGATGAATAAATCTTTAATCCTTATGACCTTTTAACATGCAGTAAATAAATACATAACATGAATTTCCCTGCTAATCATTTGCAGTTCCTATTTCATGAAGTTTTACGATATCCTGGCAATCCTGTTTCACAAGATTTAAAAGGATAAAGTTTATGATAATCAAACATAGCACTGCAACTTCTTGACTTTGATACTTCCATTGGTATTTGCATTTTCCAAGTTTTATGTAAATTAGTAAATTGAGATTTTGATAAAACAGAAAAATAATTTTTATTATTAATATAAGATGTGCATTTAGTGCATTTAGTGTTGTTATAAATATAATTATTTTTAATGTTACTCCAATGATTGTAATTATTTTTTCTGCAATTAGCATCTTTTTCTTTATAATTTTTTTCATAAATATAAAATAATTTTCGTTGTTTATTAGTGTAATGCCAGCGTTCATTAACATAAGGCACACTTCTAACGCAATTTATATATACTTCAGTATTCTCATTTCTGTAAAACTGTTGAACATTTAAGGAATTTTTGTTAGCTTGGATCATGTTTGCAGTACCACTACCAGAAATGTCTTCTTTACATTCATGAGATACATTTAGATTTTCAGTAGGATGATCAAAAAATATATCTTCCGACTTGACAGTTGAGGAAGTAGAAAGGAAGGAATACTTGGTCTGATTATCTTCAATATTACATGCAGACTGTAGGGCGAAAAGGTTAGTATCAGCAAATACAGTAGAGAATATAATACTTAAAATGTAATATATATTGCGCGTGCGCTAAAAACAATTTTGATTACATATATTTGCTTAATAAATTTTTTGTTCTATACTGTATTTGTCATATTTGAATTAGTTTACTTTCAATTAATCAAAAATGATAACTAAACACATTATAAGATGTAATGTCACCTTAGATATGATAGGATCTTCCTTTGTTCGCCTCCGTTCTAGGTCTCTTCGTCGTCTCTCTTCACGTTTTTCATCTCTGAGACGTTGCTTTTCTTGTTTACGTTGTTTTACATATTCCAAAAGAGGAGTGGTTGTAATTTTTTTTGGTGTATCTATAACAGTAGAATAATATATATAAATTCATTTCAGATAAACATTGCATATATAATAATTTGATATAATATATTCAATTATTAAAAAATTACTTACTATCAGGTGGTTGATATGAGTATTCTGTTTTTGGTTGTGATATATTAGATTCAGCTTCTTGATTTTTACGAGTTTCTAAGAAGCTTATATAATAAGGATCTGATTCAATTGTACCACATTTTAAATCTTTCTTTTTTCCTGTTCTTTTTTTTGGTAATCTTTGAAAAGGTGCAAATTCTACTACAGCTGGATATTCTGTACCTTTGGAGTCGATAAATACATAATTATCAAATTTTTCTCTGAACATAAAAATATCCTGTTGTTCAACAAAGTTAATATAAGCACGGGCAAAAGCATATTGTCCCATAGACATATCAGCTTTCACAAAATAAAGATAATCATTTTCTGGCAATGGAGAAACCTGTTCTAGAAATTGTTCTTGAGTCATAGTTGGAGGTAATCTCCGTATTACTACCTATAAATATATATTTTAATTATTTCATTATTGATTAAAATTGAATTAATATATATTTAGACATTTTTATAATGAATAAAAATTTATAAATTTATATTATAATAAATAAAAATTTATACAAATTATCACTATTATATATATTATATTATATGATTAGGCATTTTGTTATTTTTATTCAAAAAATAAGACAAAAAAATATCATATGACATATAATTATGACATTTTCATTTTCAATAATAAAGTCATATTTATTATTATATAAAACATAATTTGCTATTTTTTATTTTATAGATATCTTTATTTAATATATATCAAATAAAGATATTTTTATCATATCTTTTTATAAAATTATGTTATAAATATTTCAAAAATCGAAAATTAAACTTCGATTTTTGTTTTATGAAGCACATTATATTGTGTGTGGTTAAAAAATATTTTGTATAATTGATAAAAGACTTTTAAATATTTAGCATCATTTTAGAAAAATATACCTTTGTCATAGGTCGGCATTTTTCTTTTTTACTATCTTTAACTTTTCCAACATCTGGAGAACTAGTTTGTGCCTCATTTTGTGCGGCAGTCTCAGACTGTTGTGTTTCTTCAGTCATTGTCATCTACATTTATTTAATTTCTTAATAAATCAAGTTTATTTTGTGTCAATTCGACACACACACTCTAATCAAAAATAATATTTAAAGCATGTAATTTTTCTTCGAGTCATCAAAATAAACGTTTCCGTTTACAAAGTTTTCGCGGCCATCTTGTTTCACTAAATCGTAAGAAAGCTATTGGATAGAGAAAAATAAACTTTCATTCATTGGGGAATTTTAAAATACATACATCTAGGGACATCAAAAAAAAAAAAAATACTTATATTTCTAAAATTATAATATTAAAAATTACGCTATCAAAATTGAATATTCAATTGTTTTTGATTAAAAATAGGGAAAATTTATCAGAAATAAATTAATACGTAAAATTATACGAAAATATTTAAAGTTCACAAAATAGTTTATTGTCTACATTTTAAATATTTAAAATGATCAATGACATTTATATTGCATAATAATTTACAATATAATTAACATTTTTTTAGATTAGTTATGTTTTAATATTAAATTATGCAAAAAAGAGCATAATAATAAAAAATATATTATATAAATGAATGTTTTATATAAATATAATTTAATTATTTAATAAAAATTCATAGCCTTCTATAACTATCACGTTG